ATACGTTGTATGAGACATCAATGCATAATCACACGACTAGATGAAGATACGAAATGTGCTTTTTATTTCACATTGTATGCGTACAAAGGCACGCAAAGACGAGGTTGATATAGCTCTTTTAAAACTCATTTCGTATGAAAGAACATCGAACAATGGCATGCAAAGCGACGCGATATCGCACTTTCAGGCACTTGATAAGAGTCGCACGTTTATGAACATGAACCCTGGGAATGGTTTGTAACTGGAGAATTTAATTAGAACTGTAGGTAGCACATGTTGGACATGTCTCGCGCAAACTTGCAGAATTCCTGCGTTTAAGTGTACTTTGATGATACTAATCACGGCGAGGAGTGTCTTCACTTATTCATGTCTTGAAATACGTGAGGTTCTTTAATAATGTGACGTTATTAATGTCTATAATCTGGTGCACCTTGCACAAAAATTCTGAATAATTTTTTTCTGACAATCTCAAGAAAAATCAAGACGGCGAAACAGTCTGATTATTCATCGTAACGGAATCGATCTATCGTTCATGTTAATATAATTACATTTCAGAGATTAAGCTGCCCTACTTGTTTAATGTATCATCACGTATGATCACAGCTCACGAATCTTGAATATCTCGAATATCGTGTTTCTTGTTGAACATTCCAGTACAGATATGCTTCTTTAATCATTTGGAATAAAATAATAAAATTGAATAGTAAACTTAATAGGAAAGTACGAATTAAAATGGCACGGTATAAGAATATTTTTTAGAGAGGTATTTTCTTTCAGTTGGTACTCATATACTCGAGGTACGCAATATTCAATTTAACGTAATAAAGTTAAATGAAATTTAAAACAGATTTGTATAAATATTTGAAAAATAGTGTTTAGATTGGTAATTAAATGGATTACGTAGAAAATAAGATAATTTTCTCCTGATACAGTTATGTAATTTTATGAATTTTCTGTCTGAACTTCTTATAGTTGGCAACACTACATTTTGGCAGACATGTGTTCATACAAACCACGTAACGCACAAATAGAACGCGAATCAGTTTATCTCATTTCCTATAATTAAGTGCGCGAATGATCAAGCGCGTCACTTTTACAAGAAGACCGATAGGAACACGCGAATTGCAATTCTGAAAAAAAAGTCAGCGATGTTATTACATCTAGTCTAAATATAGGAGATAACTTAAAAAAAAAAGGGGTCAGTAATTGCGTTCTAATTGAGTCTTATTATGCACTCTTTTGTTTTGAAGTTAGTCAATCGTTGCGCGTTGCACCTTTTAAGATATGCAGGAGGAAAATTACACATTATGAACTATTAACTTCCAAAATATAATACGAATCAAGTCGAGTGGAAATTTATAAAATATGAAATATTGCTGGATGTCTAGTATGAAAGTATTTACAATAGATATTTACAATAGAAAATTTTTGAAATTGTATGTTGGTAAAATAATTGCCTGAAATGTACATCGGAATATCTCGTAATTTCGTCCTACTTATTATAGTTTAGTTTCGTTACGATATTAATGAAATTCTCAAATGATTTTCACACGACATACACGTTCAAGAAACAGTTTTACAAACATCCGAGTGTTTTTTGTAAATCTATTGCCGAAAGCTACAATTTAAATACGACGAGCCCGCATTTCAATTCCAAACGTTCGCGAATGTTCGAGAGTTCAGTAAACTCCTGGTCACGGTGACGTGACTGTGAGCGCCGCATAAAGAAGCTTAATGGAGAAATGACTTATTTCCAGCCGTAACCTGAACATAGGTAGCCCAACGTCATTGTACAGGGCCTCAATGCGCCACGGTTTCATTGCGTTGCGTACCATGTTGCGCAACAACAGTCGGTATTAACTTCAGATGTGGTATCGTGAAAGTAAAGGCCCGTTCACAATCGTCGAATAAAAGATTAAGGGGAACACTAACTTACAGTTAGTTGTGTATTCAGACGATTAATCTCCATTATTAAATTCTTGTGGACTGTTTATCTAAAAGTATACATCGAAGAACTGCTTATTTTATAAAAATATTCAGTATACAAATTCACATGTAAAAAATCATGGAAATTCATATTTTCTTGGTAATTATATACAGTAGAGTGGAATCAGCAGAGTGAAATCATAAATTTTACATTTCTGTATTTACAAGTTTCTTCATTACGTATTTATCAAGGAAGAAAACGTGATGACAATATCATACCTGTTAGCAGGGTCTCATAAAGTTGTAGTTTCAATTTTTTCTATATTTTTAATGTTAATTTGTTAAATGTTAAAAATACAGCTTTGCTCCGACAGATTTTGTCTTCAGACATACCACTTGAGCTGTAACGCACGTGACCTATGAAATTCGTATTTAATTGACTGTGCTTCTTGTCCCACGAGGTCAGGACGATCGAATCAGCAACGATGCTAGTTCCCACGGGAAAAAGTAACTTTTTCTTATTCGTTCTTCTCGAGGAAATATTCCCCGTGCAACGAGATTTGACGTTTCATCATATCATGTTCGATTTATCGTTCTAAAAAGATTATCTGACATCGTTAATACGTACTTTTTTATACGTATAAAATATACTTATTTATACCAACCAATACATATAAAATATAATAATTATGTGTATACACACAATTTCAATAAAAGTAAATTATATTTATAAAAATCTTCTCGGTCCTATTTCTAAATTCACATTGTTTTATAATTATTATAAATAACCCAAGCAATCATTATTATATTTGAAAGTCTACTTATATAGTATAATTTCAAGAATATTCAACAGGAATGACATAAAATCACTAGAAACAAAATATGAGTGTTTTTAATAATATTAATATTTACTTTTTAATGAAACAGAAACATAATGCATTATATATATTTATTTTTATCGTTCCTCTAATTTATTATCCATATTATGTATTAAAAGCCAGTAGATCTAACGTTAATAGTTAAAGATGCCATCACACATACTCTACTTTTCTCGAAAGTAATTGGTCACAGAGTGATGCGAGTATTCCCAAGCTGACGATTTCTCTTCGTTTTTCAGACGTTTGTAGGGTGACAGATAGCGGGCGCACGTGACCGATCACGTGGATAAAACATCAGGGAAATCGAGGAACGCAGATCGTGACAATTCGTTCAAAGCTAAAGATAAAGAATTCAGCGCGTGACTTCAAACGCATCGAAGGAGATTAAGAGAAATTCTTCCTCGATCTATTACTTGCAAATCGACTGCTGATTCATACAACACGGTAGCACAAAGCGCAGGTGCGGTGGCTTCCGGGAAGTGAAAAATTTGCGATTCGAAGGACGAGCAGATGTAATTTCTTTGCTCGTCGTGAAAGGAAACGTGAATATGAGCTGACGCGAATAATATTCAGGTATGAATATTAATCGAGTGATCCTTTATCGTTTGTAGTTCAAAATTTACTTAACAACGCGACTTTAGCGATACAATTTAATTTAATTCGTTAGATTCAAGAGATTGGAAATCCTTGGTCAACTTGTTAAAAATGAAACATTTCTATATCCTTTTCAGTGAAATTAAATTTTAAGCTTGCTTGTTTGAACGTTTTAAAGTTGGATCGTTTTATTTGACTTCGCAGCCGCTGGAAGTGGTAAAAAA